AATGTCTTGGATTAAATAAGGAATCCAAATAAGCATAGGTGTTGGACTACCTTTAAAAGTTATGGAACAAAACTTAAGTGAGTAGATCAACCCTAAAACTATGTCAATACCTGAACGACATAGATATTACTGGAATGCGTGTTCGTCTTTTCAAGTTTGGCTCGATGATAAATTTGGAAGTATTTAGCTCAACTCAACTCTAGATCATATTCAGTACTAAGAATTGGATATTTGTTCGATAAATCAACCATGAATACTGAACTGAACGAAACTACAATATGTATCCGAAATTCAAAAAATGTCCAATTTACTCTAGAAAACTCTTAAGTAATCGGGATAGACTTGAATGTTAAATGAAATAAGTAACCTCAATGACTGATGATTAAATAAGTGATTTGGATGAGTCTGGAAACGTTAACGAACATACATAATGAAATGTTTTTTTATGGGTCATGAACTATAAATCAAGCACGTCAGTATTTCATGATACTGTGGAAGCGTGAAAATGAAATAAAGAGCATTGGAATATCTATGGATAAGAATGTTAGGTATAAAATAAATAAATACCCTGGAAGGACAAAGAATTGACCAGTCGATGAGCATTAGTTATGGGAATTATTCATATCGAGTAACTCGTTAATATGATCAATCGACAAAGATTGTAAAATTTCTGAATCGTTGTTATCCCTTATCAGCTCAAATTAGTTAGGTTATATCTGAAAATATAAGTAGCTCAGATGTAAAGGATTCTGAATACCCTTTTGATTATGTAGAGCTTTCAAAAAAATGTATGAATAAGATATGATCTCGATAAGTCTCAATCTGAATAACTTATGATTACATCAGTTATTGAACTCTTCCAATAGTGATTATAAATCCCAACATTCTATCGATATATTGAAGATCCATGTTTCTCTACCTGATAAGATTATTCTGAACTTATGAATAATATCTGTAAACTCTGGTGTGTTCCCTACCCACATGAATATTTTATCTGATTTTCGATTTGAATTCTGATCTGATACTTGACATGGATTCTGATATGATATTTGACATGGATTCTGATATGATACTTGACCTGGATTTTGATATGATACTTGACATGAATTATGTTTTGATTTTTGATATATCCGTTTACGGACGTAACATGTTTTATTTGGGGGTATTGTTGGAGGTTACTATATATGCAGGTTCCTCAGCTTTATGCTCGGGGCCTTACTTGGTGTGTTGGTGGGTGTATGGTTCTGGGGAACCTAAACATTATGGTGTGTTGGTGGGTGTATGGTTCTGGGAAACCTACACATTATGGTGTGTTCGGTTGGAGGGATTACTATGGTTTTTGATAAATGTTTTATGGGAGGGTGTTATTGGAGGAAGTTATCGTTACCTTTACTGCAGGCTCCTCTGCTTTGTGCTCAGGGCCTTACTTGGTGTGTTGGTGGTGTATGGTTCTGGGGAACCTACACATTATGGTGTGTTTGGTTGGATGGATTAATATGGTTTTTGAGTAAAAATATGTTTTGAATTGCCACTGTTTTAAAAGAAAAGATATGCACCTTTTCACAGGTTTTGCGTGAACACACTAGATAACCTATTCTGATCTCCTGAACTCAGTCATCCGAAATATTTTTCTGAACTGAAAGCTCATTGTCCGTTACCATCTGAAATATCAGTAGGATCTCTACTCAGCATAAAAATCTGTAAATGTTCGAAAATAATAAGGATATGCATTTTTATCTGTATCTGCACGTTCTTCAGCATCATCTGGTAGTTCTGTATTACTGAGCTTTCCGAAGCTCACTCTATTACTCAACATTGCAGGTTAAAAGAATTGTATCAGTGCAGCTATCTACTTCAGTAAGGGAGTTCTTCCGACGTTGTTTGTAGAGTATGGTACATGTGATTAGGGGGCATGTAATTGTATTTTGTTTTATATACGAGTCTGAAAATCTGTTTTATTTTTAAATATAGATAAATGATTTTATAAGTTTACATGTTCTGTTAAAAAATTTTAAATTTTCTACTATTTTTACAGTGGGTCGCTTCGGTGGCCCTAATGTGACAACCCAGATTGGATTGGGTTACCCGTATCGGTCTGGGGGGTTACACTTATAAAGATGATTACAATGAAGAAACAACCCCCCCAACCACCTCCAGTCACCGACAAACCTCTAAAAGACACTCTTCTCCAGTCGATCGAGCCCATTAAAGAAATTGAGACCCCAAATGACATCAACGCTACTAAGTCTAAAACCACCCTACTTGTGGCGGCTTCGTCGGATTCTGTCTTTAAAGAAGATCCTACCATCACCGCAATGACTACTTCTGGTGACACCCAAAATCCACTTAAATTTCCCCGATACTATGATGAATTCGAGGATGACGAAGAATAAACCCAACCTAAAAAGCAAAAGCATAGATCATCTTTAACAACTGCTCCCCAGTACTCAAATTAAATTCCCGCAATCAGATATGATAACCCCACCAACGTTATCGTCAAAAACAGTAATAACATAAACAATGCCCCATCAAATCCTTCCCCTGCTACTAAAGCGAAGGCAACAAAGAAGTCTAAGAAGAAAAACAATAATGTGTTAGAGTTTGACTCGAATTCAAAGTGGCACAAATTAACTAATATATAAATATTGGGAAAGTAGGAAACTCAGTTTGGTTAAAAGTAAAAAACTTTATTAAAGTAGTTTTTTTACTTTATTTAGTTTTCTTTTGTAATCAAGTATCTATTCCTATAAATAGATACTAAGGGTGAGGGTTATAATTAAAGGTTTTTTTTCTTTCACCAATATCCTCTTGTATTTTCTTCCTTCATATTAGTGAAATTCTTTTACTCTACCCGTGGTTTTTCCCTTTTGGGTTTTCCACGTAAATCCTGGTGTTCTTTGTTTTTTCCTTTTTGATAGTGTTTATTTATTTGCCAATAATCATCGTTCTGATATTATAACAATTTGGTATCAGAGCTTCAGGTTCAAGATTATGGCAACAATGAAACATGATATTCCGTTGTTGGATCGAAACACCAAGTTCTCACTATGGCAGGTGAAGATTCGGGATGTTCTTGCACAGTTAGATATTGACGATGCAATAGAAAGATTTGATGAGAAGCCGGTAACACAATGGACGAATGAGGAAAAACATAAGGATCGTGTTGTGCATGATATTGCTCGTGGTGAAACAATTGTGAGCAAAGTTGACACTTATGAAAACTATGACGATATGAAGACTAAATCCAAGCCTATAAAAACTTGGACTTGATCGGTGTCCGTTACTGAAGATTACCCCTTTGAGGGGTTTTGTGGAAGAGGTGGAGAACTTGTTCGTTGAAGTGAAGAATTGTTTTTTGTTGAGTTTTGGTGTCACATCGAATTTGGGTGTTTTGTCTCGAAACCTTTGCACTTTCAGAATTTGTGTCAAGGTGGAGATTTGTTAGAGTTTGAATCGAATTCAAAGTGGTACAAATTAATTAATATATAAATATTGGGAAAGTAGGAAATCCAGTTTGGTTAAAAGTAGAAAACTTAATTAAAATAGTTTTCTACTTTATTTAGTTTTCTTTTGTAATCAAGTATTTATCCCTATAAATAGATAATAAGGGTCAATGTTAGATATAATTTTTTTTCTTTCACCATAATCCTCTTGTATTTTCTTCATTCATATTAGTTAAATTCTTCTCCTCTGCCTGTGGTTTTTCCCTTTTGGATTTTCCACGTAAATCCTGGTATTCTTTGTTTTTTTCCTTTTCAACCGTGTTTATTTGTTTCTCGATAATCATCGTTCCAATATTATAACATAATGTTTGGGTGACTAAAACATCGAGGAAGGAGGAAAAGAAGAGCAAAGTGAATAACCAGAATGTTGGGAATGAGGAAGAGCCGGCTTTGATCATCCTTGTTCTGAGATTCCCTGATAAAGGGGACGATACCCTAATATAAAAATATGTCTTTCCAAGGTTTATAAAGCCGACACTAAGGATAGGATGAGTGTAGGTAGCATGAAGGGGTATAGAATAGTTAGAGCAACGAGAGGGGTGGTGGAGAGAGCTTGTACTTTGAAATCAAGGTGGTGAAGTTTGGGGAGACAAGAAACACCCGGCTCTGGTGGTCTACCGATAAAGGGGATTTGCAGGCGCCGATCGTGTACGATGGCAATAGCTTTGGATATAGAGATATTGATGGGAGTATGGAGAAGAAGGGTATAAAAAAGAGATGTTAAAAAGAGGTATACGGCAAAACCATGGTTGTTGCACCTCCAAACTTTCTTCTGCAGAGCCCAAACATAAAGCTTTGCAAGAGAAGTATGGAGATGAAAGGTATAAAAAAAGGATGTTATAGGGTAATATTAGTAAAGTGTCGGTCAAAAGGATCCTAATGATTCTCCAACGTGGCGGTCAGCACTTAATGCGTCAGGTATATTTTTTTGTCACACCTATTAACGTCTCTTAACATTGAGTGATCAATTTATAATAAATCAATAATATTAGTGACCAATTTATAACCTTTGAAACATAAGTGAGAAAAACAAAAACCTGCCTCAAACATTAGTGACCAACTGTATAGTTTACCCTAAACAAATTCTTAATAAAGTCAAGATATGGAATGAACATGGTTGGGTCCATCATGGCAGCGCCACAACTACTTCTGCATGGCGGCTTCGTCCGAATTTACTCAATTTAGTTTGATGCTTGCCGGTGTTTGCAGCCAATCAAATTTAACTAATAAGTATTGAATCTTTTATATTATTTATATTTTAATAATTTTGATCTTCTATTAATATATGTTTAATTGTCTGCTAATGGGCGACTTAAAAATAACAAAAAAATGATAATTTTTTTATTTTACATTTATAATTTTGTTTATCAATTTTACCTTTGAAATAATATTAATATAAAAGGACTAAAGAATTGTATTGTTTAATTAAATTATTCCCAAATTTAAACACAATAGCTGGAGTTGCAGGTTTTGGTTGTGTTAATCGGATCAGCAACAATGGCGGGAGATTTAGACATTGAAGCAGCAACAAAGATTGAAGATAAAACGAGAGCAACCGCCATCTTCAAGAGTACAAATCAATCCGTTCTTCTAAAGGTATGAACATTGATTGAAGCCACTGTTTTCTTTCATTGAATCAGCTGGAAATTTAAGCTTAAAATGATTGTATTTTCATGGTTTTATCATTCTGCAGTTTGTTGATATTGTTTATTCAGTCAAATTCGGCAAAGGGGGAAATTGTTTTCGGAACAAATCGAGCTCCGGCGACAAAGTGATCTTAAATGGGATCAGTGGGATGGTTCAACCGGGCGAAATTTTAGCCATGCTCGGTCCTTCGGGCAGTGGCAAAACAACGCTATTGACCGCGCTAGGTGGTCGCTTAGGCGGTCACCTCACCGGCGCCATAACTTACAACGGCAAGCCTTTCTCCGATTCGATGAAGCGAAACACTGGATTCGTCACACAGGACAATGTCCTATATCCTCATTTGACCGTGACCGAAACGCTCGTTTTCACCGCGCTTCTTCAATTGCCGAATAGTTTTACTAAACAAGAGAAAATCATGCACGCTAAAGCTGTTATCAATCAACTTGGACTAGATAACTGCAAGGATTGCATCATTGGTAACTCGTTTCTGAGAGGAGTTTCGGGTGGGGAACGAAAAAGGGTTAGTATAGGTCAAGAAATGCTTATAAACCCAAGCTTGTTGCTCTTGGATGAGCCTACGTTGGGTCTGGACTCGACTACCGCGCAACGGATCGTGTCAACGTTGTCGGAGCAAGCGAAAGGTGGAAGAACAATTGTGTTAACGATACACCAGCCATCGAATAGGCTATTTTACATGTTCCATAAGGTTTTGCTGCTATCAGAAGGTAAGCCTCTGTATTTTGGACGAGGATCAGCTGCTATGTATTATTTTTTGAGTATTGGACACGCCCCTTCGGTCGCCATGAACCCTTCGGATTTTCTATTGGACCTTTCAAATGGTAAACTTGAATCTTAATTGTGCATATTGATCTTGTATAGGGTAAATTTTGCATTATTGAATCTTGTAATGCTTATATAGGTGTTATATCATCGAATGAGTCATTAAAGGAGCAAAACTTGGTGAAGAAAACACTGGTTTCGGAATACAAGAGCAACATTGCCGAGCAATTAAGGGAAGAGCTTAACGAGCACTGTGATCAACTTCACAATAGAACCGAACACAAGAAGTTCGAACGGTGGCCGACGACTTGGTGGCAACAGTTCACCGAATTACTTCAAAGGGGACTTAAGGAAAGGAAACACGAATCATTCTCGATATTCAACACTGCTGAGGCCCTTGCCGTAGCTGTCCTTTTAGGACTTTTATGGTGGCAATCCGGTATTGCTCACTTGCAAGACCAGATCGGATTCCTCTTCTTTATATCAGGATTCTGGGGTATGTTCCCTCTGTACCAAGCGATTTTCACCTTTCCTCAAGAACGTTTAATGCTTGAGAAAGAACGGTCCTCTGGAATGTATCGGCCATCTTCGTACTTCATGTCGAGAATCGCATCTGATCTCCCCATGGAGCTTATTCTTCCCACTGTTTTCATCACAATATCATATTGGATGGCAGGGCTTACACCCACAGCAGGCAATTTCCTATACACCTTATTGGTACTCCTTTTATGTGTCCTAGCCTCACAAGGCATGGGGCTTGCCATTGGTGCCTTGGTGATGAACCAAAAGACGGCGGCCGTTCTCGGTTCAGTCATCATGCTTACGTTCTTACTCGCCAGCGGCTACTACGTTCAACATATTCCGGGTTTCATATCGTGGATCAAATACATTTCGCTTAGCCATTACACCTATAAGCTCTTCTTGGGGTCTCAGTACCGGGCAGATGACACTTACCTTTGTGGTGAGCCGGCAAAGGTTTGCTTAGTCGGAGATTTTCCGGCAATAAACAGTGTGGCATATTTACATTATTCAAGCACTTTTCCTCTGAAGTTTAGACACCCGGATCTTCCAATTACATTATTCTCCATATTTAACACGTTTTACAAATAAAGTTATCGGACTGGATTCTACAACAACGAAGTCCACATTATTTTTTATGCAATACTCTTTAATTGCTAATGCAACTTCCTCTTTTACATTAAATTGAATCTCGATCGATAAGTCTTGAGAGTAACCCGAAGTTGATTGTGGTATGTATGAAAATTTAGGCACCTTCATCACATCGTAATTTATGTGAGCTGGAGGTTGATAGAATGTAATAGCGACACAAGCTTATATAAATTCACAGCCACCAAAAATAGGATCATCACTAATAAAATCATGACCCTCTTCTTCATCATCACTAGAATCAGCAAATGTTTCCCCCATCGACCTCGAAGGTTTTCAACATCAACATCAACATCAACATTTGGATCAACAACTGCATATGTCGAAGTCCAACCATATGGATGAAATACACTCGATGTCTCACTTTCCAGCATCGCGAAAAATTGTTTCTAGACTGATATGTTTGGTTCTTATTCCCACTACCAAAACCCATTTGAGATGAATTTTCAAATCATCCTTCTTTTTACTTTTTCTCTACTCCAACTTTTTTCACACTTTATATTCAACCTCACCTATTTAACACACAAAAATCAAATCTCTCAACAAAACAAATTATTTTTCTCTTACTTACCCATATCATCTACCCTTATACAATATAATTTAATTTTTAAGAAATAATTAATACCGCTATCCTATATATCAATACCATCCTATCACCCTTTATTCCCAAACGACATGCATCTAACCTGGTGCACTGCCCCTCAACCTGCACGTTGTTGCTGCCCCTCAACCTAAGTCTCAAACAATTTAATTAAATTTCCAGCACCTAATTTCCAGCCCAATACCTCAATAATTTCACCATTACCACTTAACTAACTAACTAACTAACTTTATCAATACTTGCTATTTAGTACTCAAACTTTGCCAACTTCCCAAAATAGTCCAATTTCACATTCTAACATTAAATTCAACAATCTAACATTAATTTTTAGCATAGTACAATAACTATTTAACAATTACACATCAACCTTATAACTTTAAAATTATAGAATAGGTCCTCCAACTTTCATAAAATTAAAAATTGGCCCAATACCTCAATAGTTCCACCATTACCACTTAAGTCACTAACTTTCTCAATATTTACCATTTAGTACTCAAACTTTGCCAACTTCCCAAAATAGTCCAATTTCACATTCTAACATTAAATTCAACCATCTAACATTAATTTACAGTATGGTACAACAACTATTTAACAATTACACATCAACCCCATAACTTTTTTAAATTACCAAATAGGTTCTCTAACTTTCATAATATTACAAATTGGCCTAATACCTTTATAATTCCACCATTACCACTTAAGTCACTAACTTTCTCAATATTTTCCATTTAGTACTCAAACTTTGCCGACTTCCCAAAATAGTCTAATTTCACATTCTAACATTAAATTCAACAATCTAACATTAATTTATAGTATAGTGCACCAACTATTTAACAATTACACATCAACCACATAACTTTTTAAAATTTCCAAATAGGTCCTCTAAATTTCATAAAATTACAAATTGGCCCCAAAATTTTTCTAAGGCTTTTAGAATCCTTCATACATCATTTTCAACCCCTACATAATTTTTCCATAATTTTTCTCACATGTTTATGCCTAGGCCAAATGCTTCAAAGCTAGGAATCCTAGATTTTCACTTGATTTCAATTGATTCAAACATGAAATCAACCTCTATTCAACATTTCAAAACCTATACAATCAAACCCCTAACTCAATTTCATCAAATTACAAATTTCCCCTATTTTAGGGTTTATGCCAAAAATCATATGCATTTCTAGGAGGTGTTGATCATCAAACAAGCTTGGAAATGATTCTACAATCTCCATAACCTCAAAATCCATCATCAATTCATAAACCCTAACATGAACATAAACCCTAAAAATTGGGAACTTAACATTCAAGTAAGATTAGCATGCAATAATGATACCAAATGATAGAGCTTTTCGAATATAACAATTTTCTATTTCAAGTTTTAATCCAAAAACCAAAGTAAATTGCTCAAAAATGGAAAATAAAATTTTCTCTTACCTTGTATGAAGCTCTCATCCATGGATGATTTTGAAGATGAATTTGTCATGAAATTTCTACATTAATTTCATGTACATTTGTCATTTATAAGCTTAAATGAATTTAAAATTCATTTAATGTGAAATGATAATTTTACCATTAATGAAACTTGATAATTACATCCATACCAAGCCACATGTTACTTATCTTCAAAAGTCAAAGATGAACAAAATATTATACCCTTGACAACTTTATCATATAACTTTCCAAAAATTTCAATCTTGCCATTTTCATCTAACGGTCCAAATTGAACATTAAAATAAATTCTCAAATCTAATTATCCATATTATTTGCCATCATTTAAAATGTGGAAATAATATTTTTAAGATTAATTTATCATCCTTCAAAATTTCTCAAAATTTTTATTTTATCCAATTTACCGAATCTTTACCTGACTTTAACATTTTCTAGCTTTAACACAAATTTCGGATAAAAAATCTAATTCCCACCAAAACCTCATTCTTGAGGTGAAGTATTCATTTATGGAATAAAAATTATCTATGAAAAAAATTATGACTTTGGTTCCTAAACTTTTCCCAATTTTATACATTGGCCACTAAACTTTCAAATTTTATGTTTTGGTCACTAACCAAAATTTGTGGTATTAAAATGGGTGTATTCGGTTTGGTTCAGTTTTTTTTCACTAATACATGAATCGAATCATACTTTACAGGTTTTTAAAAATGAGAATTGAAACGAATGACATAAAAACACCGATTTTATATTCAGATCGGTTCGATGGTTTTTGATTGTTCACTATTTTTCAAACTCAACCTCCAAAAAGATAAATTTAAAACTTAAATCGAGTGCAAATATATAAATTTAAATTTATAAAAAAATATTTTCAGTTTTAATATTTTATTTATTTAATTTTGTATTATAATAAATTCAATATGGATGTGTTTTGTATACTAATTTTTTATTTTTTTAATTCGGTTCAAACGGTTTTCATATAGAAAAATCAAAACTGAATCGAATTACATATTTATGTTTTTAAATAGAACCGAAACTAATCCGTAAATTAAAAAACCAAACCGAATAATCCAATATAGATTAATTTTTCAATTTTCTCGATTTCTTTGCTCAACACTACCTAGAACTTCATATTTGTGGAAGCTATATGGTCATTAGATATTTAAATCGTTTGGAATTATTTAATAATTATTAATATAATCAGACAATTATAACTTATATCAGTGATATTTAATATAAACGGAGTATCAATTCAATTATAGATAAGATAATAATTTAAGATCATACAAGACATGTGATGTTTTTTTTAAGGTTTTGAATATTTTTATATATTTTGTCAAAACTGTATAATTTTCTATGTATAATTTTCTTCATTCGAGATATTTTTGTCAAACTCACATATCAACTACTTAGAGAAAGCCCAATTTCTACACTAATTATTTTCTCATTCAACATCTTTTCTTTTCTGGCCTCTCTTTATTAAATTAAGAAAAATATAATTATTAAATTTTCAAATATTTAATTAAAAATAATTATACTTTAAAATTATAACTTTCAAGAGCTGTCAACTTAATTAAAGAATGCATCTTTTGTAGAAAGAATAATTTAGAAAAGAAAATTAAACAAAATTAGGTGTCCAAGAACCTCAAACTCTGTGACAGCTGCTGATATTCTATACTAAAGATTTTCTTTCCAATAATTTACCAACAACTTCATAACAAAACAAACCTATTTCCTTTATGCTAAAATTGACCCATCAATATTGTTTTATTTTTTAAAAAGAAAACTATTGATAATATACTTTTTATTCTAAAAAATTCTAATTAAAAAGTATAGACCTACTAACGAGATTGGTTCAAGTGGTAAGCAGTTTGATTTCGCTTGGACTTATCTCTAATTCAAAATTATGTGAATGTAGAAAATCCTGTTAGGAGACTCACCCACCAAAACCAAGTGTACGACCCGAATTAATCAATAAGAAACCTTGAAAATATAAAGACCGACAAAAAAAAAGTATGGACCTAATTTGGGCAAAAATACTTGAAGGATTTTTATTTTCCCGAGTAGTGCACCTGCCAAATTATTTCCCCAAATAGGCCATCAACTATAGTCTAGCATGAAGACGCGTAGCAATCTGTGCGTCTTGTAGAAGACGCCTAGCAATCTGCTCGCCTTGAAGGCAAGAACGCCGGGACAACCGTGCGTCTTCAAGGCTTGCCTCCAATCCGTGTTGTAGCACTTTTGCCATTACTCGGTTCCGACTTGAAGACGCGTAGAAATTTACCCTTTTGATTCTTATATTATATAATATATATTTTTATTTCGTGCATTGACACATAAAAATATTCTACAAATATGTTTATTTGAATAATTTAGATTCTAAACTTTAAAATCTAAAACATGTAGTTTTAAATTCTAAATAAAATACCTTACCATTAATTAAATTCTCTTGTAATTTTTTTCTACTGTTATGATATAATTTTATTGGTACTCGGCATGTCACCATTTGTATCGGGAGGACATATCCTTTACGGGTGCCCTTTTGACCCACCAAGCACTTTTTTACTCACATATTTGTTTATTAGTTTTAGTCTATTTTAGTACTTAAATTTTTAATATTTTTAAGATCATATCTAATGTTTAGTTTTTGTTTTATTTTAGTATCTCGTCAATAAAAATATGTTAAAAGTCAAATAATTTAAGCACCAAATTAGGCACCAAATGGTGCTTTATCAAAGTCAAAAATTAAGCACCTAATTTTTGTTGAAATTGGGTAATGAGATAATTAATTTTAGTCATTGTAATTTAGGGTATTTATAAGATTAGTCCTTAAGTTTCAACTATAAATACCTTAGCTCATATAGCTTCAAAATCATTCTAAAGCATTCTAGCTTTCTTC